ATACTCACATAGATGAAGAAGAGGCGAAACGCTGGAATGATCCAGCTGCCAGCCCATTCAAGGCTTTGCAAAATAAAACTTGCAATATTTAACACGGATTCACTACAACTCTTTTAGTAGCCTTGGTACTTTAATCCATGTAACACCCAGCGTAGTTGATTGCCCATATTGCTGGCAGTTAATACGGCATTTATCCGGTTTCTGGTAGTGGATGAATTTGGCTTGAGATTCGCGTCAAATTCTGAACTCCTCACAATTCTTCCTAGCTGCAGGCATTGTTTGTAATCCTTTGTTTATGTGTCCAAATGACGTTTGGCCCTTGTACTAGTAGGCTTGGCTTGACGTCATACTCAAGCCCATTTGCTCTATTCCGTTCGAAATGCATGTATCCGGTCCCTTTTACTGCCTTCTTCCACCCAATGGAAAGTCTCGGAACGCTACATTTTGCACAATTATCTGGGCCTACTTCTTCTTCCGCGCTACTATTCGTAGGACCAAAACAATGATCATTTGAAGACACCTGCTTTTCCGAGCAAATATCTAAAATTTTATTAATTGAGACTAGACTCGCAGCATATTAAATAAGTTTCCGCATCTTTGTCCCGTCTCTCACAAACAAATGATCCTACTAACGCTTCGGACCCCATCCCTTGCATAAATTATAGTGTCTCAAGGTTTTTCTAGGGTAAAAGAAGGCATCACACTAAACAAACTACATGAATTCAAAATAAGAAGAAGAGATATGAATTTGGCATGATTGGATCACACGTGCAAGGGCAAAACAGATATTAAAGTAGCGTCCAAGTATCGGGTGGAATCCTAAGCAAGCATAAAGCTAATGCTAGTAAATTTTAGCAACGCCACAGTCGAGCAAATCTTGCGCTGCTTATTAGAATTTTGAATAAAAACTTAGGTTTGCAAGTCTTTTTTGGCATTCTATAAGTGTGGTGGTCCATGCGAGTGTTTGAAAACCAGGAGCAATGACAATGTGTAATATATCTATAGCCATATATGAGCCATACCAGCATTCCTATTTGTAACGTTTTGTTTGTTTCGCCAACTGTAGTGCTAACTATTGCAATACTTTGTTTACGTGACCACATACTGTCTAGGGCTTAGTTTGTTAATCTCTTGGTTCCCTGTATGTGAAGATGGCATAGTCACTCTGAGCATTACGTTTTCGATCATCTCTAATGCAGTAGCAGTACACTTACATTGAAGTCAAGCAAACAATTACAGTTTGCCTAGTTAGACTTCGAATTTGACAAAATTTGTGAAGATTATGCAAGTCATGTTATAAATAACCACACAAACACTAACGAGGTATTTATGTCGATAATTGTAAGATGTCCTGTCAGATGCAATCATTGAAGTTGAATACCAGCAAATTGGTTAGCTCAAAATTTCAGCTTGATACAACACTAGAATTCACGTGCTGTTAAATGACCTTATTTTGTTTTATGCCTCCAACTTTTATTTACTTGACTTAAAAGACCTCTGTGCGCGAACTTACAATGTGGAGAATGTTATCCATTATTTTCCTTCTCTTTTGTCGATGTGAGGCCAACTTAAAGTGCTACGGCTGTGAATACCTTGATTGGCGGTATGAAAGCGCTCTCTGGCCGTGTGATCAAGGTCCACAACTCTGGAAAATCCTCACAAACTGTACTGCGTGCGTAAAACAGAGTGAGGTTCAGAAGAGCGATTTTATGAAGCCTCGATGGGGTCAGGAGGCAACAGTTTTGCGGACAACGTCAAGGTACTGTACCGTACAATTCCCTCCAAAATTTCCGAATCAGTGTATCATCTTTTACGGTAGCGAGTCTCTCATTAACCAGTGTTTCTGTTCTACAGACTACTGCAATTTCACAAGGAACCACAAAATCAGCTTGCCTTTATTATTTTGCATCTTGTGGATCATGCTATTTAAAATACAACCCTTCCGAATTGTATGATGCAAAAAGTCTCGCCTTATTTAAACGTCCCTAACCCACACAGTATATTAGAGTAGATAGGTATTCTGACCATCCAGCAGCGAATAATCGACACAAGGGATAAATAACATGTAATGGGAAATGAAAAGTAGCAGAAGTGGAAGGGTGTGAAGAGGGAGATGAGCGTTGATGCGGATGTCTGTTTGTTAGTTGTGAAGGGAGGAGGAAAATACCAATATCAAATGATGTGCAGTTCTTCTTGTAAATTAACGAAGGGTACTACCGAAAGGAGCCTGTTAACAACAGACACATGCATGCTCTTGCGGCTTTACACTAAGCCCACTTCTCCCAGTCACTACCCTGTAAAAGAAAGAAAATAATGTTGGCAGAGGATGAGGAGGAAGGTTTTACACACTTACCGTCTCTGATGTGTCATCCACCTCACTTCCCAATTCTACCCGCAGTTTTGCCGCCTCCTCTTGAAGGTATTCAACCGAGAGTTGAATCCCATTTTCCTCCTCCTGTTCTATGTCTATTAGTTTAGAATGTTTTACGAGGTTAATAAAGGGAATAAGTAGGCTCATTAATGTAAATTATTACATTCATCACCTCCTGAAGACACTGGAGGCGACTTTTGCGTCGTCTCTTCCTCCTCATCGTCATCACCCTCTTCCAATACTTCCTCCTTCGTCACCATAACAACACTGCTAGCGGGACTAGAGAACTCCGTACTAGAATTCTTCGGTAACTGAGCTTCAACTAAAGGATTCGCCTAACGAATGCAAGCGAAAAAACGTTAGTCCTTGTTCTCATTTAAAGTCACAATCTTAGCCAACCAACTTAAGTAGTAATGCGAAGGCGGTATTGTTCATTAACCTTTAAAGTAGAATAATAATTAAGATAATCTTTAAATTTATAAACGTTCTAAGTCTCCCAACTACCCAACCAGATAGCCGATGTCTTAGAGGACTCGAGGTTACCCTTGTTGTGCATTTTGAATGAGAAAGTCATCCCCTCTTGATTCTCGGCTAACATGTTCAGATCCACCTTCGCTTTAACTCATTGGCTAAACATTGAATAAACAGCAGAGCAATGTAAACATTGGAATAGCAGCGCAGCATTACGAAAAGATGGAATAGAGAACGCACTAATCGGTTGGATTCTACATAAGCAAAGAGAGTTTGGATGAACAAGACGATTTCGACCCGGCCACTTATGGTACCTCTGCTGAGTAAGTTAATGCACTCCGTCCAAATATTAGCAAAAGAAGAATCCCAAAAAGCTTATTAAAATAGCCTATTAGCAAGAAGCAATGAAAATAATGAAAGCTATAATCCATCCCTGACAAATAATTTCGTCGCCTTCGTTTTTATAACACCTGCTACTCCTAGAAGTAGGATGAGGCCAGACGTGGAAAGCCTTTTGCAAATGGCTTTCGAAACGCGTCGTTGGAACAGTTCTACTCTTGCTAAATCAGTAGCAATGCCCGATCCTGAAATGCTCTTTGCACAATTTAAAGTGATTCAAAAGAAAAAGCGGCCACCGAACCACAAACATTTAAAGCACATTATCACTGGGATTAAGTGATGTGAGGCGGTGGATAGGTTGTTTAAGTGTAACCGATCACTTGGATGACAAAATTCTGAATTAAGGAGCCATTCACAACGAGTGCCAAAATAATCTCTTTGAATGGGGTGGGCATTTCCTTAAGTAGTTTGTTGAGTGAATCAAGTTGCTTTAATAAAGCCTAGTCAGTACCTTAGATCACCTCATAGTGCACCTTCCCCAAACACTGAATAACGAGTTTAATGGGAAGCTCAACTCCGGAGCGAAGGTAAGCTTCTTTCGTACCTTACATGGTCTTGAAAAGGGCCTTACAACTTTATATCCTATTGGAAAGGCTGTCAAATAGCAGTGCGAGGTTATAAGTAGCACACAGCAATCGAGGCTCACCATAGTGTCGGACAGTTCGATTCTTTCGGGTGACTTCTCCGTTTCTGATGTCACAATCGCCACGTCCCCCGTTTCCTCAATCTCTTCTTCAACCTCTAAATCTAGAAATGGCAATGCAATGCGAAAGTGGATGCAACCCGTAATCAGAGCAGTGAACGTTTTAATTATGCATTCGACAGGCAAACCCGGTCTTTGGTGAATAAAAATACGAGGTAAGGTACCTGGAGACCATGTTAAGCGAAAGCAACAGAAAGGCTATTAATAACTCTCCAACCTTGGATCACAGCTTACACGAGACTAAACGACTGCTACAATGACTAGCCATTAGTTTGCTACTTGCATACAATGGCTAAAAACATGACATCTTCTTTTTCCTTTCGATGCTTTGATGCATATCCTCCCAATAATGGTAATTAACACAGGAATCGTGTTGGTTGTAAAATATCGACTTTGCTACAGTAGTAGCGAGCATCTCCCTTCTGTTATAGTTCCATCATCGCACCAATCAGCCATTTTTAGGTTTTCTGCTACTTAAAATGGCAAGACGAATCATGCCAACTAAAAAAGATAGGCGAAGTTAGGAACATCAAAAGCACTGGATAACAGAATTTCGTTTCGTGTCCTTTCATTTGCCAAGGGTAATATGCTCAATAGTAGTAGTAGAAAAATCAGATTCTTCATTTTTATGATTCGAGTTTTCTCTAAGTGCGTAAATAATGCGACTCACCAGGCCATGCCTCAACTTCATCTACCTCCTCCGATGTCACCGCTGCAACAGAAGCTGCGTTGATTTGCGCCAGACGAGTTCGCTTCAGGTCGAGAACATCAAAACACCAAACACGGTAATAGTAGCGCGACCAAAAGTCAGCTTCACCCAAATTGCCACCGCCATCAGGATCAACAAGTCGGAGGAGGTGGCTGCGAACAATGGGGCTAGCCTCCAGTACCTGTGATGGCGGAGGGTAAGTAACGGTAGTGGCTGGAGCAGTGGTGGGGAGAGAGCAACCCTCGAAAACAGGAGTGTCAGGGCGGGGACAGTAGGTGTGCTCATCAAAAAAGTTGGTTCGCCATTCGGAGTAGGACAAAACGTCTTTCTGGCTAGATGGCAGCTGTTCATATGTGGCTGGGTCAGCGCGGATCACCTCAATACAGGCCTACGGAAGCCGAAATGGATTAGAATTAATTAAAAAACGGTCAATTGTTTGCTAAACGACACGTAAGGAGCACAGAATTAAGAGTGTGAAGTGGGGGCGCTATAGAATGTCTACCATCTCAATGAGAGTTTAAATCTTGATCACTCGGAGGTCTGCAATGTCATTCCTAGCTCACGAGCATTCCAGTGTCCCAACTGATCGACTGCTGTTACTTACAAGGGA